GGGGGGGGGAGACATTCTTATACAACTACAAAAGAATTACAAGTGTGACAATCTTTAATTTAATTATCTATTTTACATTAGTGATTTAACATACTTTTAGCTGCAATAATGATGAGTATTTAGAGAGTAAAGTCACAGCGCAATCAAGGGAAGCTTTTCTCTTTATAATAAGGTTCTAGTATTTCATAATGTTTATAAAATACATAGCTGCAATACTTAAATGATTTTCAATTCTCATTCATTTTCATATATTCTACATTATTTTGACTTCTGGAGTGATCAACAAAAAACCGGAAGTTCCTACCGGAAGTGAAGTTTACTTTCGGTAGGTTTGATAATAGTGGATTTGGTGTCTACAATTTCTAGGGGTTCGATTACGATTACGATTTAACATTTACCAGCAAATACGTTTTTTATATTTCTAGCCAAAAATATTTCAAAAATCTATACTGGGCAATTTTATGGCATTCAGGGTCTAGTTCTAATAATATACTATTTGCATCAGTCCCTTTCACACTCGTCTAACTAAGAGTGGGGGTGAACAACGACCGCAATCGGTGACATGAAGGAAAAGGACACATAGGGTGGGTAAAACAGGGAGGGTCAACCGAACACGATCGTCGTGCGACGATGGTGAAAGGGCAAGATAGGAATGCACAAAATCCCTGGCGACACTTGCTTGCCGAGAAGCGGCTACTGGTGTGAAGAGTGAGAGTGACGGATGGGGGCACTCTTATTTATACTCGCTTTGAAAGGGACTGGTGCGAATAGCATTTGGGTGTGGCCATAAATCAGCGTGCGTGGGCGGGTTTGGGGGTGGGAGTGAAATATGGAGGGTGGCAAGTTTGCCTCCTATTTGAGAGCTCCTTTTCACTGATCTTTCAAACTTTKTTATGTCCAGAATTTGTCTCTTTTCCAGAAGTGTTCTCTGTYCACACCCCCATGTGGCAATCAAACTTACTAGAAGGTTTTTCACGTTTAACGCAGAACAGCTAAAACCTACATGCCCCTATATTGCTTGTGAAAACATGTCGGGTGCAGTATAAAACATGTTAGGCAGTCACCAATGGGACATCATCAGCAAAACCACGTATTAAGGGGTCATCTTCGTCTGCAAGCAGAACAAATAGATCGAAATGCCGTCATAGTGTAGGAGAGAATGAATGATCAATAAACAATGGATTTTTCAACTACGGAGGATAATAATAATGATTAAATAGTGATTTATGATTTATGTAGCGCCCTTTCTATATGAATATAATCAAAGGCGCTTTACATTGATTTGTGAATGACAGATTGCTTTTATGCAATTTACAAGCATGAGAGATTGTTAGTATGAAGTGTAGGCACTGAGGGTGGTCACTGCCAGGGTTTCTTTACGTCCTCAGTGGTTCTTTTACGTCCCTCCGATGTTGGTTAGTAATGATGAGTGTGGAGAGACGGAAAGTGGTCATCCGAGCCACTTGAAAGTCTAACTATTTGTAGATGTAATTATACAAAGACAGCACCTTCTCCTCAGTTATTTTAAGACCCTGAGTGTTGGTCCGGCCGGGACTCGAACCACGACCTCCCGCACGAAAGTCCGATGCTCAACCAACTGAGCCAAACGGTTTGCGGTTTGCGGTTTGCGTTTTATTTGAGAGGGGGGGGTTATATTAGAATATTGATTCTTCGAATAGAGGAAAACCGTAGAACCCAAGGAAAACAAACTTCAAAGTCCACATAGAGATCGCCCCTGAATCTTATCCAATCGAGACCTGAATGGACCTCTTGCTTTTTATCTTTACCGTCGTTTGCATTACTACACGGCCACCTCAGACACAAATCGAGTCGTGTAGTTTGCAATAGACTACTGTCAATCATTCATGTTGACGCCATTTATACACGTTTGGATCAGTGAGTTGACTTTTCTATCAAACTTTCTCAGTCCGATATCACCAAGGAAAGTTCCGAAAGYGATTGCAAAGAGTACATCCAAGTAGAATGAGGTGTTTGATTGACGGCAGTCTATTGCAAACTACACGACGCGATTTGTGTCTGGGGTGGCCGCGTAGTAATGCAAACGGCGGTAATACTCAGTCAAAGAATGCCTGTGAAAATCGTTGGTGGGATGATTTAGATCGAGAACTAGTAATATAATCAAGACAACCAACGATGTTCAATCAAAGAAAAATACTTGTGGGTTATAAAATGTTTAGCTTACCAGAATGAAAAGTCACTTCACCCCCAGCCTCAGAGTTCCTTGTCAACAGAACGTACATTGACCGCTGAAGACGATGAGATTTGCGTACAAAATACGCTAGTAGCAACAACAGTAGCAGGCCCACGATCCCTACGGGTATGGCCCATGCTAACTTACTGA